CTAGTTAATGTTTGCCCCAGAACCTTTAAAAAATAGCCCATGGTTATCAAAGCAAAACCATCGTCCATCACTATTCCCCTAATCTTGGAGGAAAAGCTGCTTGTTCTAGACACCTTAAAGCCCCAACTGCTGTAGGGAATTCAGGAATGCTGCTGTGTCTAATTACAGCAGTTTCTTTTAAGTTCACATACTATTTTTGCTACTCTGGCTCATTAAGATTCATCACTTGAGCAGTTCTCCAATATTTTATGAAATTCAAGATAACTGATGAGCTTATATATATATGCTGCACCTCCCTAGCAGGAAGGAAACTCAGTCTCCATCCTGGAGTGTGGGGGAAGGAGAAATGACACTAAGTGCTAAGGTTAGTTGCTATCCAACACACTGAGTCAGTCTCTGGAGGGAGGGGGAAAAAAACTGTACATATTTAGATTTCTAGTGCATCAGTTATTCTTACTATTTAGAAGTTAGAGCCATTGATGGTGAAACATCAACAGCAGTGCCAAGTTTTAAGTTAATAAATATCAAGGGCAGCAGCAATGAGAGTGACTTAAAGTTCATAATCAAACATCAAACGCCACCACTGACCATGGCAAAAGAAGTACTTAACCTGTGAGAATAAAAACAGCTTCAAAATGTTATGGATCAACAAAGCAAACTAAACCTGACACAACTTGCTTGATGTACTTTAGGATCAGAAACTGTTCCTCAACATCAATGAGCAGTTGTGTTTGTGCAGAAGCTCTCCCAGTCAAGTCACCTGGCCCCAAATGGAGTAGGATGAATGGTTTTGGGATTTCCTCAAGGGCCACTGTCATCTCAGCTGTTTGGCCACAAATCTCCAGTGTTGCTGCTCTTTTTACAGCCCAGCACAACTCCTTTACTGACCACACACTCCTGGTTCCTTCAAAAATCAGAAGCTTCTTAGATGCCAACACTGAGCGAACATTAAGTTACCTCTTATTTCTCTTCTACTGATGCCTCTGCTCCAGCAGGAGTAGAAACTTGATATACTTTCTACATGTTATTTTTGCTTACATATCTATATAATATATGATATCTATTTAATAATGCCACAGTATAAAGGCTTGCAGTAAGACCTTTCCAATTTCTTTGGTCTTTGAAAGGCAGAACAAAGTTTCAGCTTTCAAATCTTCCCTGCTTGGAGCTGTTGGTAATGAAGTTTGACTGAGGACTGGGATATGTTTCCATTCTGCAAACCCAGCAGATAACAACCACCCTGGGTTGTGCACAGCCACCAGCAGCACTGCCACTGTGCTCAGCAAAAACCACCTCGGGTTCTGCAGAGTCAGATGATTCCCTCACGCCATGGGAAATTCCTACTGTCTCTCACTTTTGTGTCTCTGTGTCCTTGGTTTGTATTGTTCTCAAAGCAGCTTTTTTTATAGTTTCAGAACTTGTTAAGGAGTTGGAATGGAGCTTAGAGATGATCCAGCCCCAACCCCCTGCCCTGGGCAGGGACACCTCCCACCAGAGCAGGTTGCTCAAGGCTTTAGCCAACCTGGCTGTGAACACTGCCAGGGTTGGGGCAGCCACAGCCTCCCTGGGCAACCTGGGACAGTGTCTCACCACTCTCTTTAAAGAAATGCCTGACATTCCCTGACTCTCACCTGAATTCAAATTAGGGTGAGGGAAGGAAGATCTATACAGAAAAGCGAAAAGACAACACCTCAGGAAACATTCTGGTGACATACACAACTAGTATAACATAAACCATTAAAAAATTATACTTCAGCACCTTAGTTTTTGAATTTCAACATGTGATAAACAGTATTGAAAGGCTTAGATAATTCACAACAATATCCAGATAATGATTCTATCTCTTATTTCTGCTTGAGATGGTATCAGTTTTGTAATTCCACATACTTTTAGTGTATCTTTTCAGATCTGTCTATTCCTTTGATGGGTGATGGAGAAAACCATATGTGCAGATCCATAGAGCAATGAACTTCCTAAGCCACACACAAGAACAGCAGCTTCCAGGAGAGAGCAGCTTGCCAAGACAAACAAGTTCTGCCAACATTTTAACACCACAGAAGGTCAGTCAGGTTATAATTAAATCTAATTACCATTCTCATGAATTGCAACATCTTTTCACTTGAAGTCACTTAATGCTCAGAAAAGGATGAATCTTTATTCCATATTTTCCAAGAATCACAGTAATGAGACATTCTAATCTTGGCTTTAACTCTGAATCATCACTTATCGGCATAAAGAAACAAGTGATGTAATCATTAAAAGCAAGAGATCTGAGCAGTTTATTCAACCACTGATACTTCCTCTCTCCTGCTTTTCCCCATTCCTCTGTGATCATTTGACAAGAATTTTTTTCTCTTCTGTTCAGTCCCACTCTGTTTTTTTTCATTATTTCACATTTTCATTTTTCCTTCTCAGAGTTTTACAACCTTTCTGCTTCAGCTCCCTATTTTTAATCCTCTATATATCTTTAAATCTTCCTGTCTGCTCCCTCAGCAAGCTGAAGAGACTCATGACAGTAACTTTCCTCATGCTGCCTTGGAGAGAACTGCTTTGGGAAACCACCTGAGCTTATCTCACCAAGGGAAAAGGTGAGATAAAAACTGGTGAAGCAGAGATCTTGTTTCTCACCCTTTCCTTTTCTCACAGGCCACAGAAAGTGAGAGAGGGAAAAAAACAGGAGTTATTTGGCTGCTGCTTCTCCCTCAAGAGTGCAAAACCAGGTCATGCTTGTCCTGGTCTCATTCAGATGAGCAAGCAGCTGGAAACACTATCAATGCCACCCAGCTCACAGGGGAAACCCTTCAGCAGCTCAGGTCTTGCTGGTTGCATGTGGCCATTCCATGTGCATGGGGAAAAAAAAGGAGTTGTCCTCTCATACTGCAAAGAGTCCTTTAATAAATAAAAATAAAGAACTAAATAAAAATTACAGTTTTAATTACCATATGATACTTCAAGTTCCACCTGTCCTGCAGGAGATTCACATGTCATCAGGCAGTTAATATGCCACTTCACTTACCAACCCTGATGTCATAGAAGGCTTTTATTGTAGGTGGGGCAAAGCACAATTCTACAGCACCTTTTTGATTACTTCCAATTATATTAATCTCTTGCATCTGTAAGGTTTTATTTATCCTCCCACATATTATTCACACCTGTGGCCCTGCAAAAGCATGTACAGTGAAATCCTTGAGCCACCAAAGTTGCTGGAGGGTTTGCAATGAGCTTCCAGGACTCAGATATTCATTGTCTTTCTCCAGCTAGTATTTTACTTCTCTGATTACTTTAAATTCAGTTTTTTTATAGTAGCAGTAGTAGTATGTTGAGGGGAAGGAATGAAGCTTAGAGATCACCCAGCCCCAACCCCCTGCCCTGGGCAGGGACACCTCCCACCAGAGCAGGTTGCTCAAGGCTTTAGCCAACCTGGCTGTGAACACTGCCAGGGCTGGGGCAGTCACAGCCTCCCTGGGCAACCTGGGACAGTGTCTCACCACCCTCACAGGGAAAACTTCTGCCTAAATATCCCTCTTTCAATTTATCCCCATTACTTCTTGTCCTGTTCCTGCAGTTCCTAACACAGATCCCTCTGCAGCTGCCCTGGAGCCCCTTCAGCTCCTGGCAGGTTGCTTTGAGGTCTCCACAGAACCTTCTCTTCTCCAGGCTGAACAGCCCCATTTCTCTCAGCCTGCCTTCATAAGGGAGATACTCCAGTCTTCTATCAAATTTGTGGCCTCCCCTGGACTTGCTCCAACAGTTCCATGTCTGGGAAGTTTGGTGCAGGTTAAGTGAAACTCTAGAATCATTGGCTCAAATATAATTTCATATTCTCTCACCTAACAAGGCAAAACTCCATATAGATAGCAGTGGAATAACAAGGAAAAACCCACAGCTTGTTCCTTTGCTTTCTAAACCTGAAATGCATTATCTGGAGATCCACCACTTACCAGAACACACATACCAGAGTACAGGCTGAGCAGATGGTTCAAAGCTAACTGTCAATCCAGTTGCAGTTCAAACCAGCAGTGAACTACTCCAGCTGTTTTCCAGATCAAAAATATTATTGTCATTTTGCTATCGCTGTGTGCTGAGGGTTATGTAACAAAAATGCACATGTCCCTCTGCCTGGAATGCAATTAATTTCCTCCCTCCTCACTGTGAGTGGTAAGGAACAATTCAGACAGTCTGGATGCTTCAGTTTTGAGCATGGCCAGAGAGGCAGCCCTGGAATTATTCCACGTGGTAACCCACTATTTGCAACACAGCAGCCTTCTGGAGGCCTTACAGACAGGGTGTTTGGAAAAAAATAAACACTATTGTCCTGTTTATACATGAGCTCTTACTGTCTGTGGGGTACTCTGAAGGCTGCTCTGTAGTTCCTTAGTTTAACCATAGGCTTTGCTTTATGCTGGAATTTTATGCCTTCTAAATAAGTGCAATAAATGGATGAAGTAATTGCTTCCAAGCTGAAATCAGCCACTAGACTTGCTGCACACTTGGGTATGCAAAAATCAGGCATTGTACACTATTAACTTAAAAATCGTGCCATAATCCCTTCTTAATTCACAAATATCCAAACATCATGCAGGTGGTTAAGTTCAGACTCCACAAGGCTTGACCACTCCATGCAATTTGCTTATAGAAACAGGACAACTGGAAGCCCTTTGCTTAGAGCAAGAAACAAACCTCATTTTCTCCATGCAATCTTTTCTGCCAAGTGCCTTTCATCTCTGTGATATTTATACAGCACCACTAAGATCTTCAGGACAGGAGTTGCCTTTCTGTAAAATGTTAACTCAACTTTTCTCTATTGTTCCTGTGCTAGAAATACAATGTGGTGATCAACTGTCTTCCAGGGTGTCCACCGGGATGAAACATTAACTTGGGACTTAACTGCAGCAATTTCCTTTAATGTGTTATTGCTTGGTACAGCTTGTTCTGGGCTGCTGGCACTGTTTAGAGCTCACTTCTGCAGGGAGCACCTGCAGTGGTTTTACTGTTCTCACCTGGTTAAATAGGCCAGAGCTCGCTCAGATCCCGATGGCTTTTGGGGCTGCACCTTTTTAATGGAGATTCCAGCTTCCCTCAGCAGCTGTTTCTCCTTCTTCTTGCGCTCTTTTTTTAGTTTTCTTTCCAGTTTCCTTCTTTCTTCTGCAGTAAGTTCTTTCTCCACCTCTGCAGGAAGTTCTTCCACCTCCTCTGTAGGAAGTTCTTCCTCCTCTTTTGCTGCCTGCAATAACCAACATGCAAATAAAGTGTTTATATTTCTATAGGAAAGTGAACTAAATATGCATAAATGTAATTGTAGGGCACAGGTAACATTTATAACCAGAAGTTTCAGGACTCATATTTTTACTGTTCACTGGACTTCATCACTTCTGCTCTGCCCAAGTCACACAACTGCAAATGCTGCACTTGTGTAGACCTGTGGAACTGCCCTCTGGAGATGATGGTCTCAGCACCACAGGAATCTGGATATGGATTAAACATCCTATCTAAAGTTTGTTCTCCTGTTTGTTCTCCCATACTCAAATCTGTTTCACAGCAGAAGGACGGTTTGGATTTTGTTCAGCTCACACACGTTTCAGTGGGAGCAATAGGGTTTCCTTAAGATCCTCAGTTTGTTTGTTGTGTACATACACTTCCCTGTACTGAGAAAAACTCTGTCTGCCATACAGAGGCTTAATCTCCATCATGCCAAAGGAGATGTGACAACTACCATCTTCATCCAAGACCTCTTGGAGATCCTTTAGCAATCTTGAGGAAACATATGCACAATTTTCAGTAAACACATATAGATATATATGCCCAATGGTTGACATGTCTTTAGGTTTGCAGACAGAACAGCTACTTATTCACATCTAAAACCATATCACCATAAATAGATGTATCAGTGTACCCCAAATGAAAACAAATATCTCACATCCAGACGAAGAGCATGAAATAGATACACTGAGTTGATTATAGAAAATCCAGTGTGAGATTACATCATGTAGAAACAAAATGCTGTTCCACAGCAAGATGAGATTGACTCCAGGGACTCCTGGATGTCTGAGAGAGGAACTTGCCAGGCAAGGCCTTCTGCTGGAGCATGGGACACCCATGGAGGCCAAACTGAGTGAGACAGAGATGCTCTTCCCCCTCTCTCTGCTCCCTCCTCACCTGTTTGAGGAACCTGTAACTGAACCCCAAACGCACAAGAACATCAGTTATGGCAAGACTGGTTCAAACCACTTTATGAACTCACAAATCCTCAGTGTTACATGAATTTGTTAGTCAAGTGCTTTCAAACACAGAGCTAAATCGGGTTATTCTTGCTGCCATTCAAGCAAAAGATGTCAAACGAAACAATACCTGGACACAATCCTGTTTGCCAAGGACACCTGCTGGGGACTAAAAATTTGTTCAGTGTCAATTCACCTATCAGCTAAGTTTGTTCTGACTCATCTTTTCAACCTTGTGTTTTCACAGACCAAAGAAAGGGCAAGAAAGCAGAAATTCCAACAAATGGGAGTAAAGAGGATTTGCTTCTTTTGCTTTATGGAAAAGCCAGTATTCACTGCAAACACAGGCAAAAAAGCAACACATGTTGCATTTGTCTCACAGACATTTTACAGTTCATGCTAAGAATCAAATAATACTTAGGGTGAAGGTAGAATGGAATTGTGATACAGGAAACGACATTTTCATTTGAAAAGCCACCCTGGTACTTACTAAAATAACAACCCAGCCACACAAAGCCCAGGAAAACATTGAGGGTGGTCATTTATAAAGTGTTTGTAAAAGATTACTCCAGCAGCTGTCCAACAGACGACACACTACAGTTAATCTTCTTTTAAAAATAATGTAATGAATTTGTTTACTTTTCTGTGAGCCATGAAGCTTTCAAATAAAGTGACTGCGGCACATCATTAGAGCTGCTCTGATAAAGAGGCCTCTGCTTCTTCATACTTACAGTAAATGCATATCTCAGTACCTTCCCTTCCCCCCTCACATTCCAAGCATTATCAAAAAGCTTTTTATCCCTCTCCCCAACGGCTCCATTAAAAAACAAAACAAGTTGCTCTCTCCCTGTAGGTCCCAACGTAAATACTGAGCCCTAACAACGTTTGTTTCCTGCATCGCCACTGTTGTGCCGTGAGCTGTCTGACACAAGGGCATTGTTCTCCCACAGGGCTGGGCTGTCCTGGCATGGAACAGTCAGGATTTACAGCTGGAGGTACCTTCTGTTGGCCCACAGCACCATCCAAGGAAAATTGGACTCATCAGGCTTCTGTCTGGGACTCCCAGCACACATAATGCAAAGTCCTCACATCCTCACAGCTCAACTTTTCTAGTTTCAACTCTACTTTTATCCATCCCTGCCAACTTGGTTCATTTAGTAGCACACACCACAAACTGCCCTTGGGTCTTAATTTGAAAGTCACAAGTTTTATGTGCTTTAGAAAATAGCTGCATTTGGTGCTACAGTCTCTACTGAAGCGGAAGGGAATGTTATCCCAATTTATATTAAAATAAAACCTTCCCCCAAACCTGGGACTCAAAAGAAAACAAACCCAAACCTTCCACTGCAATTTAAATCCTTGCTGTATTTATTATTTATCCCTCTACTGATGAATCTCTCCTTTCTTTAAATCAACAGCCTTATTTTTAATTCTGCTTTCCCCAAACCATTAATATTTTCCTGAAAGATGTGCCCAAAGTTTGTGATCCATTTGGATTAAAAGGTTTTACTGTTATGCCATTATTTAAACTAAAAAAAACCCCAACCAACAGGACTTCATTGTTTTGAGGTCATAAATATTCCACCTTGTCTCCTTCTATATTTATAAAGTGACATCACAATTTGTAGTGCTACAATTTAGCCTTAACTGCAGCATTGTAAAGTCTCTAGTTGAGCGTGTGAGACACTTGTTTATTGACGTGATAAATTTAAACCACATGCACACAGGGAAAAAAAACACAACACTTGCTTATTTGCAAAGCCTGCTGAGAGCTACCACACCACCTTGGATCGTGGGCTCATTAGATCTCAATCTAAACAAGGTCAGGCCAGGCCAGCACACTTGAATGAATGACATTCAGAGGACAGAGCCAGTGTTTCCTCATGATTAAGGAGGTGGGAGTCTTCCACTTGGAAACTTTCCAGAAGGCCTGAAAAGGTGCTAAAAGGGATGTTGCCACTGGATGCCACGTTTTGAGTAAAGGACAGACCCCCAAATCTTTCACACTTTGCTCATAAAACCCCTGTCAGCTTTGGGTGGGTACAGAGATGTGAGCTCAGGCACCATCAAGCAAATTCCCAAAGTTTGTATCATACCTTGTCCATCTGCAGGCAAAGTGCTGTGGCTGCCAATACAGTGCCTTTCATCAATGCCAGTCCCCAAATTTCTGAACTGGGTGTAAAAATAGTAATATGCTGTAAATAGTCTTAGACATCTGACTCAAAATATCTGGCAGCTTCAGCTGTGGCAGTTTTAGATACCAGTTTAAGTTTTCCATTATTCTTTGTAAACTGGAAATATTGCACAAATTTAAGATGTTTTAAGTGATCTTTAGAAGTGAGTTTACCTATCATAAAAGGGGAGCAGCTCAAACTGAAGGGAACATTTAACAATGTAAAGCAGCTCTGCTAAGCAACTCAGAACAGAGAAAAATAACCAGAATTGCAAGAGAAACGAGCAGAAAGATGTACAAGTTTTCTTGAAGAGACCTTACTCTGTTTTTTCTGCAGCAAGAGTGGCAAAACCAAACAGGTGCAATTTTTCAGGGGCTGCACCTGCATAAAAGCTTGTACTGCCAGGGGACTATGAACCCTAATAGCTAGGCAGCCACACCAGGATGGAATCAACAGAACACTAATTGCATTGTGTTTCAGCAGAGCACTAAGTGCATTTTAAAATTTGTTTCCAGATTTATATTTGCACAAAGGTCCTTGACTGCCTCAGACTTGAGTAGAACTGGAGATATCTCCTCAAGACTTCTGTTCCTCCTCCTTGCTCATCGCTGCTTCAAAGCCTCTCTCATATTTGCATCCCTGGTTGTCTGATGCCAGAAGAGAATAAGGTTGATAGAGTCAGAAACCCTGAAGAATTGCCACAATTAACTGAATACTCATTTTAAAATGTTTTCCTTCAAGATTTGCCTGTGCAGGTCTGAACTTTCTGCCTGATCAGGGGTTTGGCTTTGCTGCCAAACCTACAGCAGTAACCACAGACCAAGCCACAACACCAAATTTGGTATTTATTAGTACCAGTGCATCCAGCTCTTCCAAAACCAATAGACTTAGAGCCTTTTCTCCCAGCATTGCAGAACGAGTCTGTATGACAGCAAAGCACCAGCAGAAATTCAAAGGGATAAATACAAGTGACAAACTTATAAAAAGACCATCCAAAGTTTTGCACTCTAAAGACTTGAGAATGGAAATGGAGGGGAAATGGGTGATATGGCTGTTCCACAGCAGGAGCATGGTATGGCCTTGTTTGTTCATGAAGCTCATGTTATTTCATAACTTTTAATACAGAGAAATGTCAAAAGGGGCTTTGTTCACTGCCCAAGAGCTACCGACCCATCATGGAATGAATTCTACTTATGAGTAGCCTTTTGCCCCCCAAAACACTCCATGCACGATATCAGCATGCAAAACATCCTGGTTCTGCCTTACACAATGCATATGGACCCAGATAAATAAGTGGCCATCTGCCAGCTTCAAAACAAAAAGCAGAATCTATAAACACAGTTCAAAACCCCCAGAGAAGAAAGGCTGGCAAACCCTTCCACACAAGGTTCATAAAAGAGAGATTGACAAATGATTTACTATCTGAGCTTGGCCAAAGAGCTGTGCTACAACTGCAGCTAGAGAATTTGCATAAAGCAGTTCATGGCCATACTGAATTGAAATGATTATTTTCTATCACTTGGCACCTTGTGAAAAGAAGTATAAGCAGAGAGAGCAGATGAAATTTCATTATCATGCAGAAGCTAAACGAAAAGCAACTTGTAGAAGTTCTTCTTACATCATGTCTGCAGCACTTAAGAGAGGAAGATTTTAAAACAATTATACAAAGAAAAATATAAACTCTTTCACCAAAGAAAGATTTTTAGACTCTCAACTCCTCACAACAAAAACACTGGGAATAATTTCTATTAAGTTGACTCTGAAAGGTTTCTGTAGATTCAACCCAGGCAGAGAAGCCTCAAACAAGTTCTGCAGGAAACCAGATTTAAATA